AAATAAAACGTGTTTTGTTTATACTCAAAGGTTTGAGGCCATATGGGATTAGTATTATTCTTGTGTTTCACCTTGCATGTTTTGACTTCCAGAATAATTGAGTTTATTAAGAATAATCGAATTATTCAAACGGGCCACAGTCGTTCATATGTTGGAAGTAGATATGAATGAAGACTGTCGTGAATTGGTGTGTGGATTGTCTAAAAGAGTATTAGACATAAGCAAATGTTTGCTGCAACGTTCATGAGTGCTTATGAATATGATTTGAGCATTGGATTAAACCCACGCTCACTTGGATCACTATCTCGAGTGATTAGTGAGACGATAACATCTTATATTCTTGAAACCGAGATGTGTGAGTTGTATCTTGCTAATCGGTTGCACATTGATAATATGTAAACGCACTAGTAACTTGGTGTTATAAAACATATTGTTGTGTGTGATTTGGTTAGTGAGTGCAAGCGAGCATTGTATCAAAGTTTATCCGTTCCTTTTATCCAAGGTAGGATAAAAGCGATATCTTTGGGCCCCTCGATGGTTTAGTGATGACATACGTAAATGCTCGGCCGAGCTAGGGCTAATTTGATTTGTTCAATTAGTCTGTCGTCATAAATCGGAAATCGAGATATAGTACAAAGAGAATGATTAGAAATCATATCTCATACGATATCTAGAATGGAGGAATATATGATCCCTTATCTAAGGACACGCGTATCTGATAGGATCAGAGTTGACAGCGGCTTTGGAAAGCTACGATTGCAGATCAGGATCCGAAGTCATACGCAGAATAATTGTTAGACTTATCCAAGTGGGAGACTGTTGGATTAGTGTCTAAGTCCATAACTATTTTGGTATGTACTTGACCCGATGGTGCATGGTCCTTTTGGGTTGCCTTCACCAAAGCAACTTGATAGGATGAATTATGGAGAGTAAGGAGTAAATATGATTTATTAATATATTATGGGAATAATATATTAAAGGAGAAATCATATTGTTTAATTAATATTAGTCAATAAATAATTGGTAATTAGTTTTGTGACTAAAAGAGAATAATTAAACTTAAGGGACTAGAATTGTAATTATAGGATAATTGCAATTTGGGCCATGGATTGCCTTGTATTAAGGGATGGACGAATTCTAATGGGAAACCCATAAGGAAATCGTCCATGGGCTTAATTAAAGGAGTCTATGGGTTGCTTAGGGCTTAAGCATCCAAATTAGGGTTTCCTTGTTAGATAACCCTAATAGCCCAACTATATAAAGACCCCTTAAGGCTCAAAAACGTGGCTAATGTTCTTGTAAGGGTTTACACACGTTTTTGGCAGCCTCCAACCTATCTCCTCTTCATCCTCTTGCTTATGGTGTTTGTGAACCATTAGAGGAGTGACACTTGTGACTCTAAGCCTTCCAAAGTCAATTCAAGGAGATTTGTGATTGTCATTGCTACATAACAATCAAGGTAACATTATAAACCTATTCTCATGTTAATATGATTATTTGAATGCTAGAATTAGGGTTTATAGTCTTGGATAACTTGCATGTACAATAGAGAAACCTAGATCCAAGCATTAGGGTTTGTATGAGCACATAGGATGTCTTATGACCAAAAACCTATCAGTAAACTCCTTCTAAGGTGTTAAATTGCCATTTAAACACACCAATAGCCTTGGATTAAAGTCTAGAAACAACCACAAACGATTTAGAGGACTTAAACTTAATGAAAACCACTCCCATAGGAGCTTGCGGCCGTAAACCCCCCAAGGATGGGTTCCTGGGCTGTAAACTCCTAAAACTTAGTCAAATGGTGCCTTAAGTTCATTTTATGGCTTGTAGATTTAGCTATGAACACTTGTAATAACCTAGGACCACCAAAACATCAAAGGAAAGTGTGTGGGGGAGTTTACGGCCGTAAAATCCTAGTTTACTGCCGTAAACTCCATTAAATGGTCCATATGTGAGTTTAATCCATTCCTATGCCTTAGATTAAATCCTAGCAACTTTCCCCAAGTGATAATTGACCATTTAGCACCATAAAACCCCTCATCCATGAGTTCACGGCCGTGAACTCATGTGGAGTTGTTCTTAGGGCTGAAAACTCCATAAGGAGTTTACTTTTGAAGAGTAAACACATTATCCAAGCCATTTACGTCCTTAGATGTCACCCGGGTCACTCCAAACACTTGATTTGAAGTGTTTTCACATCTTGGAGTGTATAATCATATCTAATTAGTGATTTAAAATCTAATTAGATACATTTATATATCATTTCATATTACATAGGAACCTCACGCGTTATCAAGCCCCGTACCGACACTTACCATCCCATCCGACACGTTTCTCTACCGGTGAGTTGATACCCCTACCCTTTTTCAAATGTTTTTCAGGGGGGGGGGGGGATACAAGCAAAAGTACAAGGAAAGCTTGTACACAAACTTATTATTTCAATTCAAATGTTTATAATCTGTATGTTTTTAATATCGAAAACTGTGTTAACCAAATAGTTCGAATCATAGTGTTAGCTTTCAGACTAATCATAGATTTCTTGATAAAGTGTTACAATCTATATTATATTCCATAATTTAAAAATAATTCATACTAATCATCAGTTAGAACTAATACGAAAATATAACTAGGAACAGAACGAATACGAAAGTACAGCTAGGAACAGAGCGAATACGAAAGTACAACTAGGAACAGAACGAATACGAAAGTACAACAAGGAACAGGGTGAATACGAAAATACAACTAGGAACATAACGAATACGAAAGTACAGCTAGGAATAGAACAAATACCAAAGTAATAATACGAATACGAATACGAATGCGAATACGAATACAAATACAAATACAAACACGAATAGCAATAGGAGTAGGAATAGGAATACGAATACGAATGCGAATGCGAATACGAATACGAATACGAACACGAGTAGGAATATGAATACGAATACGAATACGAATGCGAATGCGAATGCGAATGAGAATGCGAATACGAATACGAATATGAACACGAATAGGAATAGGAGTAGGAATAGGAATAAGAATACGAATACAAATACGAATGCGAATGTGAATGCGAATGCGAATACGAATAGGAATACAAATATAAAAATTGAATACGAATACAAATATAAATATGAATACGAATATGAATACGATTAAGAATAGGAATACGAATACGAAGGCACGCATCTAGATACATTCAAGTGTAACATAACTAGGATATCAGAATACCTAGCTAATATACCAAATATGATAGATAATCAAACATTACATTAGGATTCAATAACTAAACTTTACTTTTAGGAAAATAAGGGTTTTTCATGGGATAACAATTGTACATAACCAGAATCGTGTAACAAAACAGTTAACTAAACTTTACATATAAGAAAATATGGGATTTTCATGGATAACAAACTTTTTCGGAAAACCAAAGGAAACTTGTACATTTTCAGAAAACAAACCTCTTATGAACTCACCAGCTTTATGCTAATTTTCAAACTGCTTGTATTCTCAGGTCCATATTAGACAGGTACCCAACGATCCTTTTGGCGAAGACGGAGTACGTAGAAGACTCGTTTCTACTTTTGTTCATATATACATATGCACAACACTTGTAACACTTTACTTTTGATCAGATGTAAATTCTAATATGTAATGTAATGGTTGTTTACTTTGCTTACTATGTACATTGGTTGTGATACTTAACACGAAGTCACCTCCGCCCCAGAACGTTTCCACCTTCGGTTTCGGGGTGTGACAGGATGGTTTTATGTTAATATAGATTTAAAAACGGTTTTAATAAAAAAAATTCACATCCTTAACCAATTTTGAATTTATGTTTTCATAATTAAAATGTTAAAAATCATACTTTGCTAATATGAAATAATTTCTCATCTATTATCGATTATTATCATGTATTTGAAAGTTGGGATGGATTATTGTTCAAAATATAATGTTGAGGTAACACAATCTCATAAGTTTTTCTTGTTTTTGCGTTTTCGCAAATTATTTGCATTTTCGCATGAACCCTCCCATATATATATATATATATATATATATATATATATATATATATATATATATATATATATATATAATATATATATATATGAGAGAGAGAGCCCCTCTTATTTTTTTTAATTGTTATATATATATATATATATATATATATATATATATATATATATATATATATATATATATATATATATATATATATATGAGAGAGAGAGAGAGAGCCCCTCTTATTTTTTTTTTAATTGTTGTAAATAAATTAATAAGTATTAGATTTAAAAAATGAGAAAAATATAAACTAAATACACCAAGGGTATTACAGTCATTTCAGTTTGCTGATTGACCAAATCCGCAACAAAACTAACTCAAAAAGACTACGAAGCCAAAAAAGTCGGGATCTGGATAAAAATTGGAAAAAATACATACCATATTGATTGTTTTTGCAGTTTTGTCTTAAATCTAATGGAAATCGATGTATAAAATAAACGGTAAATGTGCCCAGAGGTAATTTTCTAGTGAATGCTTTATATAATCTTGGAATTAAGTGACATTTTTCTATCCTTATTAGACAAGAACAATAAAATAAATTATGTTTTGTATTCAGTTTCAAATGAAATTATGAACTGGATGTTCTTGAACGATTGTACTATTTTGAAGCCGATAAAACTATGAAAACATTTGTCTCGGACAAAATAAGCCTTCAGTTAGTCAACGAACTTTTGTGGTTTAATTAACTTCCAATTAAAATACAAGTAAATTGTTCGTATATAAATGTGTTATATAAGATTAATTTTAAACTAGATTTTATGGATATTTAGACCCGAAATAAACAAATTTAAAAAAAAAAAAAAAAAAAACCTGGTTAAAATTATCAGAAACGAAACTAAAACCCACCAAATTTCCGTATTAGATATTTATAAATATGTACATAATACAAAACCAAAAAAGTTTACACCAATAATAATAATTTGGTCGAATCAGCGTAGATGAAACTTTTTACAAAAAATTTGTTTATTTTTAAACTTCAATGAACATATTAGAAATTGAAACAATCTAGCAGCATTTTTTTGTCTCAAAATAATCCACACATATTTAGAGCTAAGATCCACACCTATAAAACATAAACTTGGAAGAACAAAAGCAGTCTAAAACACATCCATGTATGCCATTCTCATACAATTAAACCAACAATTTACAAAAAAAAAAGTAAGCATTTTGACTATTACTCTTCTAAGTTTTTTTTTTTTTTTTTTTTTTTTTTTTTTTTCTACTTGAAAGCAATCTAATAGCAACTTCATAGTTTTTGTTGTGTTGCAGAAAACAACTCATGAGGGAGCATCCCTATCCGACATATCTTCATCTTTTATGTTTCCCCTTGCATGATCCCTGCGTTTTATTTATTCACAGTTAAATTTTTTTTAAAACATTTGACTTTTTTGGTCAACCGAAATTACTTTTTAAAGTTTGACTTTTGAGGTCAAACAAATAGTAATACTAACCTTGGATTGATATGATTTGCATTGAAGCTTTGTCGCCGAGGCTTTTCTTCTTCATCAACATCTGAATCATATTCCTGACCACTCCATATGCGTGGCTTTGCCCGTTTCTCCATGGGCTCTTCTGGCTATTTTATTTTTATTTTTTATTTTTTTTTTTAAAGTAAAACATAAAATAAGCACAAGGCAAATACGTGAACTCATTGAATGATTTTAGATTTTAGATTTATTTACCTCTTCGGGAACTTCTGTGACAGGTGGCGTTGTCTGAAACGGGACACTAGGAGAATGTGGTAACCTTGATAGTTGCTCCAGCAGCATGTTCCTGTCATATTTCATTTTCAAGTCAAAATACAACACACACAAATATATATGTGTGTGTGTGTTTACTATAACTTAAAAACTTTAAACGAATAGAATACCATGAGATTTCAAAATCATATTATAAAAAAAAAATCCTACAGTTAGTTTAATTAAAATGATAATAACAATAATTTAACCTTAATTACTTAAGGTTACAGATTTTGTCTACTTTCAACACAAGACATTTGGCTCTACAAGCTTTCACCTATTGAGGGGTATTTAAGGCATTAACGGTATCAAAAATGAATAATAATAATATGCCATTTTTGCCTATTTGATGCCAATCCCTCACAAGGAATCAACAAGCCTAACATAGGCCACAGGATCCCTTTTCATCCATTCATTGAAGGGTATTTATGACATTTGGTTATATGGTAGCACATACCTTTTCATCAGACCAAAAAAATATACCCAAACATACAAATTAGAAAGAAGGATACTAAGTACACACATCAACACACAGTGTCTACATTTATAATATAATGAAACCATATAAAGCTGCAATATCTAAAACACAATCTCACCTTATTTTCTCCAAATCTTTAGGAGTGTTTTGATTGTCAAGAGGACTTGGCTCAACATGAAGCGTGTAATCAGGTCCAAAATACTCATAATATTCATTGTAAGGCAGCTTATTTTCAGGTTCAACCCCAACAGCAACTGCTGTCTGAAAATTTTCAAAGAAATTAAATCAGAATCATATAGCTTATGGAATAACTAATCATAAGAAAAAAAAAATGTCAAAATAGAGAAAATAAAGACCTCATAACACCAACATCGGGCCACATTGCGGATTGTATAACCACCACCTCCTAAAACCATGAGAGGAACATTGAATGATCTAAGATACCTGAGACAATCTGCATGACCTTTCACAGACAAATTGAAGCAACCTAATCTATCACCAGCCAATGAATCTGCCCCACATTGAAGAACCACTGCATCAGGCTGATAAACCTCCATAACTTTGTGAAGAATTGGTCTAAATAGACCACGAAAGCTATCATCATCCATTCCATCATTCAAAGGCACGTTTAGGGCGTAGTACTTTCCCTGATGTGCGCCAATGTCTTTGATGTGTCCAGTTCCAGGGAAAAAGTCACCAAATTTATGAAATGAGACTGTCATTACTCTGTCAGTGGTGAAGAAAGCTTCTTCAACCCCGTCTCCATGGTGGATGTCGATATCTACATATAGCACACGCTGCAAAATAACAGTATGTTATGAACATCGGATTGGTATAATCTAATATCAGATAGCATCGTTGTAATACAGATTCTGGAAGACCTAATTTCCATATTTGCAGAATGTGAGAGAGATGGAAATACGGAGAGTGAAGATGCATACCCTGTGGACTTTAAGAAGCTCAAGAATACCCAAAACAATATCATTAACATAACAAAACCCTGAAGCTTCGGACTTCTTCGCGTGATGTAACCCTCCGGCCCAATTTATCGCAATGTCGGCGTCTTGCCGGTTAAGCTTAACAGCGGCTCCGATGGATCCACCTGAAGACGCTTGGCAAAACTCAAAAATACCATCAAAAACTGGGCAATCCTCTCCAACGTTGAACCGCTTGAGGTGGCGAGCATGAGTGTGGTCATGAAGGGTATCCGGAGTGACAGAAGCTAGAAAGTCTACATAATCGTCGGAGTGGAACCGTCGGATGTCTTCTGGGCCAGCGGGAAACGGACGGACGATCTCCATGCGACGGTGAAGGGAGTAATGCACGATGAGGTTGTGGGCCATGCGGATGCGATGGGGTTTCATTGGGTGACCTTGGCCGTAGTAGTAGTCGCCGATTGAGGGTTCGTAAAAGTACGACACACGGCGTTTTCTCCCATCAGGGCCTGAAGGGAGCGACGCTCCCCCGACTGAGGAGGACTCGACCATTGTGATTCGCGGCGGTGATGCGTTAACCGATAACTAGAGGGTAACCAAAAATCGCCGCCGCGATGGTGGAGACAACTGAAGAGTAGGCCTGCGGTCCGTTGGAATGATTCGTATTCGGGTCGAAAAGAGTAGGGCAGGATTTTACCGACCCTGGACCAAAGAATAAAGCACAATCAAGAGAGCTAGGTTTTTAAGTATTTGTGATAGCAAGATGAATTTTGTGTTTATTTAATAAATTTTTGGGGGATAGGAAAGACGAATTTTGCATTTATTTAATAAACTCGAGTAATCGTGGTTGTTAAACCTATCTTAAATTGAATTTGTAAATCGAATATATGGCACAAACATTCATCTCTTTCGAAGAAATGGACGGTTTTACGTGTTAGTTAACAATATTGAGAAATATTTTACAATCAACAGGATGCATCAAGAATGTTAGGAACGTTACGAGTTATATCTAGGGATGATCATACAACCCGTTGGACCGGACCGGATCGGAAAAAACTCGGGATCAGACCCGGACCGAACCGGATATTCTTATATATGGGTTGGTTTTCGGGTTTTGTTTTTTACAAAAATCGGTTTCGGGTTTGGACCGAACTGAACCCGGAATAAAGTTGTTAACCCGGACCGGACCGGAAATCAAAACTTATTAATAAGTTAATAATATTATTTTCTTAATTCCTTTTTTTGAGCGTACAAAAAAAAAAAAAAAAAAAAAAAAAAAAAAAAAAAAAACAATTGAAGCCTATACACAAAATTAGAATAAAAACCCTATTGACTGCTTGATTTCTTTGGGTTTATTCTTAGTGTCAATAGATGATTTCTTCCATCGGCCACTAATCTTCTACTCTCTAATACTTCCTTTCCTCTATAATGATGATTGAAAATTAGGTTGGTTCCATGGAAGATAATCAAAGTCAAGTAAGTGTAAATATTTTTATGTCTTATGTCGTAAACTCGTAATGTATATTTTAATCGTGGATTGTTTTTCTTTTATGTTTTAATCATGGGTAATTGGATAATAAAGTTAATATGTATCTCTGTTGAATGATAATAATGCAAAAGAATGATAAGTGGAACCTTTAATTGCTATAAATGTAATACAGCATACACAAGCTACATGTGAATGTCCTATGTCGTGGAACTAATTGCCAACCAATAATATGAAGATTCAACTTTCATCCTGTTAGGATTCAACTTTTGAGATTTGAGATTTAAGATTTTTTTATTATTTAATTTCTACTTTTGAGATTTTTTTTATTATTAACTATTTATATAACATGGTAGTTGTTACTATATTTGTTGTTTGTTAAGATTATATATATATAAAACAATAGATTTGAAAATGACGGACATGAAAATTTAAAATTTTGAAGTTTAATAGTTGTTGATTTGAATATTTAATGAAAAGAAATAAAGACTTTATTGTTTTAGTTGTCGATTGAAGTATCTGTAATTTCATTTTTCTTTAATGTATGTTATATTAAAGAAGTATAGGCTTCATAATGTTATACATATATAATTAATCAGAGACTTCATCTCCTCTTAATAAGGATTCAACTTTCATCCTCTTAATGATGATTCAATCTATCGTCCTCAACATGTGCTTGTGGAACACTAACTGCATCCAGGTTAATAAGTTAGAAAAGATGTAACAAATAGTCATTGATTGGTTTGCATTGAGAACGAAGAAAAAAATAATTTGTATTTCGTGTCTTGTCTTGAGCTCGTGATCGTGCATGCTTTGTATAAGTGAGTATTCTTTAGTATTGTTGATTTTTGATGTTGTAATGGCTAATGTTAAAATTGTTGAATGATTGTTGATTTTTGATATTTAAATGCCTTATGTTTTTTATTCTTAAATGCCTTATGTTCAATGTCTAAGTAATTGTTTTTACTTTATTGTATTGTAGGATGATGATGTCATTGTTGATAACACCCCACATATTATTGATGATGATGATGTTGATACTAACAAAGGAGACATAAATATTGAAGATAACACGGCATTGCCAAAGAAAGAAAATAAAAGAAAACGGGCACCACAAAAAAAAGATCAAAATGTTGGGATTCAATGGAAGTGGTTATGGACGAAGATGGAAAGAAAACTAATAAATCTAAGTGTAAGCATTGCTTTAAAGTCTTTAATTCCGATGTAAACATAAATGGAACTTCTAGCTTACTTAGACATGAAAGAAAATGCAAACAAAATCCGGATAATATTAAAGGGCAAAAATACTTTACAATTTAAAAAACAACCTTTTGGGGATGGTACTAGTGTCACTGTATGGAAACACGATGAATACATGATTAAAAAAGCTATGCTAAACCTATTTGTTGTAGGTGAACTTCCATTTAAATTTGTGGAAAGTGAAGCTTTTATAGAGTACACAAATACTCTAAACAGGAAAGTCAAAATACCATCTAGGCATAAAATTGGTCGTGATGTTGCCAAGTTTTATGTTGAAGAAAGGAAGAAGTTGTTAACTTTCTTTGCTAATCCACACAACATGATACACTTGACAACCGATAGTTGGACTTCATCGTGTCAAAAAACAAATTACATGGTTGTTACGGGGCACTTTATAGATGACGATTGGGTCATGCATAAAAAATGATTTTAAATTTTAGACCAATAGATACTCATGTGGGAGAAGACATGGGACGTTTGTTACTTGAATGCATACATGGGTGGGGGATAAAAAAATGTGTTGTTGAATGCATACATGGGTGGGGGATAAAAAAAGCATCTTTTAAGTTCAAAGCATCTTATAAGTGTGGACAATGCCACTACAAATGACAAAGCATTGGAATTCTTGACCAAAAACCTTCCGAACTTGTATGAAGGTGGAAAACATTTTCACGTTAGATGTGTTGCTCATATTTTGAACTTAATTGCGAAAGATGGGTTAAAATATCACAATACTCATGTGTCATGTGTTCAAAGAGCGGTGAAATACATTAGACATTCAACCGCTAGAATTAGGAAGTTTAAAAAATGTATGAAGGATTCCAACTTAGAAGGGGATAAGTTTTTATGTGGAGAGTGTCCAATGAGGTGGAATTCGACATTCGAGTTGTTGAAGAGCGCTTTGAACTTAAAAGATGCTTTTTTTGAATATGAAATTAAAGGTAATTTTTTTTTTTTTGTTATTTTTTACAAATAAGAGCTCTTAGAGTGTAGTTTTTTTTAATTAATATTGCTGTTTTTTTGTTGTGTTTTTTTTTGTAGACACCTCATTTGCACGTGATCTAAGTAGAGTCCTGCAGCGTACCGATTTCGAAGTGATAGAAGAGGTTATAATGTTTCTTGAAAAGTTCAAAACAAAATCGGAGATGTTGTCGGCTTCATCAAAACCGTTGGTACAAACTGTTTTACGGGAAATTATAAATGTTAACAACATCTAGAAACGTGTTCAACAAAAGTGCATCTTTGTCATATGATCCCAGACATGTGTACCAAATACAAGTATTGGGGTTCAATAGAAAATTTGAATGATTTCACGTGTTTTGCCGTATTATTGGACCCCCAAATGAAGTCCAACTTTTTGTCAGTTATCATCAAGAAGATGATTGAAAACACAAGAACGAAAGAAAACATATTGTTGGAAAGCACCATAAAATTGAATATGATGTCTACGGTGCGGGAAATTGAAAAAAGAATGGAGAATTTATTTAAAACCTATGAAGAAAAATATGCAAATGTAGGTTCGTCTCAAAAAGTAAAAGAAGTTGTAAGTTGTGATGTAGGTAACGATTTTTTGGATGCTTTCTTGATGGGACAAGGAGACACGTCGGCGACAGTTGAAAATGAATTGAGAAGATATTTAAATGAACCTAGAGTGACTTTTGATAAAAATTTCGACATCCTAGATTAGTGGAAAAAAAATGCACTGCGTTTTCCGATCGTCGCTCGTATGGCAAAAGGTAATGCTACTATTTAACTTCGTTTTCTTTTAGTTAAGTTATAAATTATTATATTTATAATTTTATGATGGTTTGTTGTTAGATATTTTATCCATACAAGTGACGACCGTGGCGTCAGAATCCGCTTTTAGTACTTGCGGTCGAATTCTAGATGGGTATAGAACACGTTTGAATACGCCGATTGTTGAAGCTTTAGTATGTACTCAAGATTGGGTAAGAAAATCACGCAAACCCATTTATAAATGATGATGAAGACATATTGAAGGACGATGACATAGCGTTGGGTAGTAAATTTAAATCATATTTTATTTATTTGTTGTTTGTTAAAAAAATTATATGCTCACTATGCTTTGGTGTTAAATGTTAATTATATAGAGATTGAAGCGGCGATGGAGGAAAAAGAAGAAAGGGGGAATGGAAAGAAGCCGATTGAAGTTTAATTGTTTTTTTCATAAATTGTTTGTTTTCGTATAATGGTAATTTGGTTAAGTACATGGTTATTATGAGTTTGGTACAATGATAGTTTGGTTATTATTATTTTGATACAATAATATTTTGGTAATTTTGGTTTGTTACTTATTACATTTACATTTATCTTCACTTATGTATTTTTTTTATTTCAATTGTACAAACAATAAAAATACGAATGATGGATATTACGTAGTAAGATTATAATTTGAAATAGTATCATAGAGACTAGAGAGTAATATTACAAACAAAACCCGAAGCCATAAACAACAAAGATACAAACAAAACTCGAAACCGTAAACAACACTGCGAAAGTATAATTTGGTCCAAAACCCGAAACCCGCTTTAGTACCCGGAACTAGACCGGACCAAACCCGGACCCGATACACCCAAAAACGGTCCGGTTTTCGGGTAAGGTAATTCATGATTTTCGATCTTCGGGTTTTCGGTCTTCGAACCGGTCCGATCCGGGTTCGGCCTGTTGCTCATCCCTAGTTATATCCTTTTAGAATGGCCCAATGTGCATCATATGTGATTTTAGTTCTATATTTAGCATATATAAAAAAACTTGTCAGATTTTTTGAAAGTGGATTCGAAAATTAAAGTTTATGTGCATTGACAAGGAGGAGAAGAAATTCAGTATATATAAGAAAGTGGATCCAAATATGACCAGCATATACGAACTTATACACTTTGACATATATGAATCACAATTATATCATCAATGATAATAGATATTATTATAATATAAAGTCTTTTTTGACAAATTGTAGTTGAAACGCCCCCAATGTATAATTTTATGTCAATTACAACCAAGGTTTATCACTTAATTTGTTTACCGACATTTGTCTATGATTATATTACAACAACTTAAAGTTCAAATGAAAGTATCAAAT